ATCATCTATCTATCTATATCTAATCTATCTATCTATCTATCTATCTATCTATCTATCTATCTATATCATATCTTATCTATCTATCTATCTATCTATCTATCTATCTATCTATCTATATCATATCTTATCTATCTATCTATCTATCTATCTATCTATCTATCTATCTATATCATATCTTATCTATCTATCTATCTATCATCTATCATCTATCTCCGTGTTTTTCAACCACTGTGCCGCGGCACACTAGTGTGGCGCGACATAGTGTAAGGTGTGCCGTGGGAAAAACACCCGCTATATAGTCAATATAGGCACAGAGTTTAATTTTTTTAACATTTTCTAATGGTGGTGTGCCTCGTGATTTTTTTTCATGAAAAAAGTGTGCCTTTGCACAAAAAAGGTTGAAAAACACTGTGCTAGATCTTAACAGATGGGCAGAAACAATTGGAAACAGATAGCCCTTTAGGAAATCTGGCCCTGGGCCATGAAGGGTTTTGCTGGGGTAACCTGAAACTTGGATGTATTAGATATTTTTATTATTATTAAATTTTTATTTTCTGCTTTTATTTTTTTTTATAAATACCTCAAGGTGATAAACACATCTAATACTATATGGAGATTCTCAGTCATCCAGGCCATGGTTGTGCCAAAGGTACTTTTTCAAAAGGCAACTGGACTTTCTTGTTTTCCTCCTTCAGTCAGAACTGAAGAAGCTTCTTGGATGAGAAGTGAAACGTTTTCAAGGAAAACAAGCAAGTCCAATTGCCTTTTGTAAAAAAAAAAAAAACACCCTTTGGAATATCTTATACTCCTCCCTTCTCCCTATGTTTCCTCACAATAGCAGTTCTTTGAAGTGAATTGGGCTGAGAGGAAGTGACTGGCCCAAAGTCATGCAGCCAGCTGGAGTATTTTATGTTTATATCTTTTAAACTGGCGAGAATGGGTGGCATATAAGCAGAGTAATTTTATAATTCCATAACTGGCATTTATTATTTTTATTATTACTATTATATTTTTATTTTGCCTTTTATATAAAAATAGTATATTGCATAATCATGCTGAATATATCCAGATGTGATTTCCAAGAAACTAAACTCAAGTTATTGCTGCAATGGAAGAACTCCAGCCAAACTGGAGATACTGAAGACAACAATAAACACTTACATTTTTTCAATGAGCTCTTTCTCATCCAAGGCACCAGCCAGATCTCGCTTGTTCCCAAGAACTAAGACCTGCAAAAGAGAATAGGGCAGTGCTCTTAGTCTTATACGTGCAAGCTGCAAAGTGCTATGGAACAGTCTGAAGTGACTCCATTGTTCAAACATGATCTATCTTGTGCATCAGGGTTTTCAATACACTTTCTGAATTCAAGAATTTTCTTTATAATCCAGGGAAACTCTGCCAAGCATGTAGTTGGAAAAAACACAACTTGGCTTGAAAGAGAAAAGATAATAGGAAAGCTGTCTCTACAACTATTTAAAATACCAATTTATAAAATGCTATGTTGACTTTATAAAGCCATATATTAAAGAAGCAAAACATTGCCTTGCTTTAAGGCTAATGTGGATATTAATAAAAATATTAGCCATGTAAAATAATTTAAGTGGTTCGCTTAGAAAGACATTCATGGGAAAATTCAAATGCACATGGGGGGCATTTGATTAACCTTTAAATGTACTCCTGGGGGCAGCCAATACATCCTTTGTAACCAATAAACAGAAAGTTGTCTAGTGTCCAGATATGCTATTAAAACCTAGCTACCCAAAACAGTATCTGCTTCTTTTCTCTGCAATTACTTCACCCTTGGCAATGCTCCCTATGGGCCAGTTCAAATGGCAGCATCCTGATTGATAACTGTTTTGTCTTTTAAAATATTATCTGGACCATACACAATTCTTGACTACCTAATTTTCAGGAGCTATTCTCATTAAGATTTTGACCATGAAACTCTCTCCTAAAGACATCATCTACCTCTCATTTATTTTGATAAAGACCATACTTATGGTCTTTAGCACTAGTGAAAAAGTTGAAGGATCTGGCAGGCAGTGGAAATTACAAACCTTTTAAAAGGCAACATAGTGCATTTTTGTGTAGGCAGCTGGTTTAAAGAAAGGAGTGAAATGACCTTCTCCATATATTTAATATAATTGCAAATATGTGTTACATATTTACATTTTTTTGCCTTAAATAAGCTATTTCACTGTCTAACTTTAAAAAAAATGAAACCCCCAAGGAAAGGATTTTAATTCATAGAAGGTAGAAATATTCGAGTTGCACTTAGATTTACATATATCTTTACAGTGTGTGCAATAATAATACAGTGTGTTATTTCTATCTTCTATTTTCTATCTGAACAGTAGCCATTCGGAGCACTTTCCCAACTCTGGCTCTGTGTCAGGCTCTGTTAGCATTTGGATGGGATCATCAGGACATTCCAGAGCTATGGACTAAAGTGGAAAAAATAAAAACAGTCTGGAAGAACAGAGTAGCAAGCTCCTTCCTTACTATCGCCAAGAAAACTACATGATTATATCCATGCAGTCATCAGAAGCTGAGAAAATATTTAATTCTGGATGGGCTAAAAAACTATTATTTACATTAGTAAACTTCAGCCTTACTTTCTAGGAACTAATTCTGTGAAAATTTCCTTTTTTGCATTTCAAACAAGAGGGACACATCTATCTCCTGCAATGTTGTAAAAGTAATTTCTGCCCTTTACTTACTTTTGCAGCACAATCCTTCCATAAAAATGTACACATCCTAGAAAGAAATATCTCACGTGGAATAGTCATGAAAATGAAAAGGAGCTGGTTCCAAAATCTAGATTGTAGTTTTTGAAAATAAATTACATTAAGATGATTTTTTTTACTCAATCCGTCATATAGATTAATTTGTATATATTTTAGCCTTTCCAGAATTGGATCAACTTACAGGAATGCCTTGGAGTTGTGGTTTATCAAGCAGGTTGTGCAGTTCATTCTTTGAAGCTTCAATCTTCTCCTGATCTGCAGCATCTACCATGTATCTAGAATGAGACAACACATTACTACTGAGCTGGAAAGGTGATAGAAGCAGTTGCAGGTGGCAGCCTAAGATACTATGTAGGAGCTTAATACAACTTCAGCTAATCAACAGTAAAAAAGATAGATTGTTCTGAAACTTTATTAGTCTCTCATTAACTGACTGGTTACAAAACTTGAATTTGGACAGCATCTTTATTCACCTTTTTCTGTGAATACCTTAGAACATGTGTGCTACAGGTGGCACGCCGAGCCATTTCTAATTGGACGCATGGCATTGCCCTGTCAGCTCCTGTGTGCCTGCGAGTGCTGGCCAGCTGATTTTCAACCTTGATGTTTGGCCATTTTTCGCCCTCCGGAGGGAGAAAAATGGCCCAATGGGCAACCCGGAAGTCCATTTCCAAACTTCCGATTTGGTTGTTGGGGCCATTTTTCACCCACCCCAGGCTCCTAGAAGCCTCTAGAGCCTGGGGATGGCAAAAAACGGACCTACTGGGTCACTGGAAGTCGGAAAATGGGCCATTTCTGGCCTCCAGACGGCCTTTGGGGAACGGGGGAGGCAGTTTTTGCCCTCCCCGGGTTCCTAGAAAGCTTCTGGAGCCTGGGGAAGGCAAAAAAACGGTCCGTTTCCGGCCTCCGGGGGCGGGGAGGCCATTTTTGCCCTGTCCAGGCTCCAAGAAAGCTGTGCGCGTATGCACGGGGCAGCAGGGGTGGGTCACACGTGTATGCCCTGGGGGCATGGCATGGGGGCATTAAATTATGAGGGTGGGCATGCGAGCGCACGCATACTTTTGTCATCCGAGGTGAAAAAGGTTCACCATCACTGCTTTAGGAGGTACTTACTGTCCGTGTGACACTTGGATTCTAGTGCTACAAATATGTGTGTAGAAGTGCTTAGGCAGGGCTGAACATACTTTGAAAAGAATGTATTAGACATGCTTGAGACCTCGCACAACATCTCTCTGCTATTTATTAAAACAAGCAGTCTCCATCATGACTTTAAGAAGCCCACTCTTAAAGCAGCACCACAGAAAAAATTAGAACTTGCTGAATGAATAATAGAGAAGTGTTGTACTTACTCAAGATCAGAAAGTACTTCCTTCTCAGACTTTTCTAAAGTAGGCACAATTCTACTTGTACAATCTATAATCATATGCATTTTAAGATTACTTTCATTAAAAAGTATAAATGACACAGAAGAGCTGTATAGAGTAGACAGGAGGTTTGTCAGATATTCTGAACCATATCTTGGTAAGAAGTTACTAAAATTATTAAAGTTCTTAAGGGTTGGTTAGGAAAAGAGATAACAGCAGAGAATGAAGGCGGTATTGTAAACTATTGATTCTGTTTACAGATACATTCAATATAGACGACATTTTGGGTTTTAACAGTCACTTATTATCAGCTTCTTAAACTTGCAAGAAAACAGAACCTTTGCCATTATTTAGGCTTTAGCTCTTACTTCATCTTAACAGCTTCCTGAATTTGCCCATCTTTCTACCTTCATTGGACCATTCTGACTCACGACCCTTTTCAGAACTGCAACCACCAACAACCACCCCAAAGGAAACTGATAAGGTATTGGGTAATTCAACAGTCAGCTAATCTAACTGTTGGTTGCACACAGCAATTTCATTTACCACAGGCAAACTTACATCTATGTTCAATTATTCACTAGATAAAATGTGCTAGGCTAGTTCTATTTAAAAAAAACAGCAGGAAGCAAATATAGGACAATGTCTGCAAATTTTCTAGATTCATTTTTATGTTATAGAAAAACATGAAAACATTATGCTATAGAGTGGTCAAGGAGAATCCAATAAATAAAAATCCAATTTTTGTTACTGGATACTGGATACTGTATTGAATACTGGATACTTGTATTCCAATATCCAGTACAATATTTTGAACAAAGCTGAATTCAACTGAGTTTGATCTTCACAAACCCAGTTGAGAAGTAGTCCAAAATCTGGTCTACAGGAAACAGAAACCAAGACATTTTCAGAATAAAGAAATACAAACTATCAGTCTATTAATATCAAAGATTATGCTAGATGCCAAACGTATCTACAGGCTGAGCTTCATAATTTTTAGCACGCAGAAATGTATCTTTTTGATTATGCTATTTTATACAGTGCCACATACTGTATATTAATATCCATTGCATCAGGAACCAAAACTCAGTTTGGTACAGAGTCCAGATTCAGCTCATTTACTTGATAGCAAGGGGATAGTGGATTATTTTGTAACATTTGCCAATATATTTGAACAAGGGCAAAGAACACTATCTACTGGCTTGCCTATATGGAAAGGGAGGCCCAGACAAAACAGAGTTAATTCAGCATGTATATCTGCAGAAGTAATAGAGGTATTGGCCACTACTGGAGGTTGCACTCACTGATAAGGGAAAAGACAACCATGGGTGAAATAGAACGCATCTTCAAAAAAGAGTAGTCTTGAACTGGATAGTGTTCCGTTATATGGATTTCAATTCCTAGAATTCCTGTAAGCAGTACTAGAATTGAAAATTGTGTGAATTTCTAGTTAAAGGCATTGAGTAACAGGAAACATCTATTAATTCTGCCCTTCAATTTTTTATAATTACAATACAGTGCCTGGTATTGATGGAGATGCTAGTGTGGTTAAAAAAAAAGTAGGCTGGAAAGACTTCAAGAAATGGTTTAGTAGTCTGAAGTGGAGAATTTGAAAAGCTTTGACTGTTCTCAGAAAGGAGACCATAAGCTACTTTCTCCAAAAAGGAAGAATAGATTAAAGTGATTCTGTCCACATACCCTAAGAATGAGTGCGGTTTTACAAAAAGTAGTATTAAAAAGAACAAAATAAGATAACTTTTCTGAAATGGTAAAATCTTCAGCGGCCTATAAGAACTTGGCCCTATAACCTACCATCAGATCTTGAATTAAATGGGAGCCTGAAGAAGTTTATCTCCTGCAGCACTGAGTGTATATGCAACTCTTTGTGTCAAAGTATTCCAATACAAAAGTGGTTTCTTTATGCATGACATATGAGAACAGTAAAGATAAGAAAATACATCCAATGGTTACAAGAATATTCTGAATTATGGGTGTTTAAGAGTTCAATAGTAGGATTCCATAAAAAATATTGTCCTATAAAGAACATAAATCACACCAATTTGTATTGGTGTGTCAAAGTATTCATGAAGTAGGGGAAGTAATGTCAAAAATATTACTGGCCAAATAATGCACATTATTCACTTTATGTGATATATGTCACCATAAAATGCACAATGTTTTAGTATCATGTCTTTATTGTACTTCTTCTTGATGCCTCTGTGGTATGTCAATAGATATCACTATGAATAAAAATGAGAAAAAAAATCAGCAAACAGTTTTATCAGAATGAGACTTGAAAGATTTAAGGACAAATTCTTATATTATTCCAAAGGCTATTATTATTAGGCATACAACTAGTGCAAAGGACAGAGGGACATTTTCAACATTAGTATCATCTAATTCATTCAAAATACCTCGACATTAACGAAGAGAATCTGCTTGTAGAAAAGACATTAAACAGAAAAGACAGTTGATATGGGAGGTGGAATGTAAGTAGTCCTCATGTAATGATCACTCATTCAACAACCATTTGAAGTTATCATGGTGCTTGACAAATAGTAGTCATAGCTTGTCCTATACAACTTGACCGGGGGGACGGGATGAGACGGGACTGTCACATGATCAAACTTCAGTCTATCCACATTTACAACCACTGGGTGTGCTTTAACTCCCAATCTTGCCTATCTTCCTCCATTTCTGGCATTTTGGCTGTCCTGCACTCAGTATCCCTGAAGAGTCATGAGGTCATTTAAACCTGAAGGGCGGTAACCAGGGGTGAAATTCAGCAAGTTCTGACAGGTTCTGGAGAACTGGTAGCGGAAATTTTGAGTAGGTCAGAGAAAAGGAAAATACCACCTATGGCTGGCCCCAGAGAGGAGTGGGAATGGAGATTTTACAATATCCTTCCCCCAAGACTGGGGAGGGAATGGAGATTTTACAGTATCCTTCCCTTTCCATGCCCACCAAATCATGCCCACAGAACCAGTAGTAAAAAAAATTGAATTTCATCACTGGCAATAACTTTTCCACAGGGCAGGTCCCACAACAGAGAAGGTATGATGCCTAGGTCCATTTAAGACATTATTTTAACTACTTGAAACCTGCCTTTTTTGTCAGATCTTCCTGCGCAGGCTGGAGCAATCTGTCATTCAGGCCCTTTATAGATAATCTTGAATTGTATCCAGAAGCTTCTTTGGTAACCAGTGCAGTCTGTGCAGCAAACACAGATATACAAAAGTGCTTCCGTAACTACCTGCACCACCATATTCGGCAGCTGCAGTTTCCAAGATGTCTTCCAGGGCAGTCCCATATTGAATGCATTGCAATTGTTTACAGGTGAGGTGACTAGAACCTGAGAGACTGTCTATGGAGATCCTCAGTCATCCAGCTCATGGTTGTCCCAAAGGTGCTTTTCAAGAGGTATCTAGGCTTTCTGGTTTCCCTTTCAAGACATTTCGCTTCTCATCCAAGAAGCTTCTTCAGGTCACTTTCTTGTCAGAAAGTCCAGCTGTCTCTTGAAAACGAACCTTTGGGACAACCTGAGTGACTATGAGAAGAGATGCATGGTCCAGGCACAACTAGCATATTGAACAAAATCAGGGGAAAGCCCCCTATCCACAGTTGTGAAAAGGGGGAGGCAAAAGTTTGTTATGATGTCTAACCTGCGCTTACCCATACTATAGTTAAAGAGGTAGAGCTAATTGCAGGTTTCCATCGTTCCTTGTGCATTATTCCTTTCCCTTTATGGGGAAGCATCAAGCACATCTTACTTACCATACCCTTAGTATGTAGACAAGAATTACTTACACTATTGCACTGACACCACGGCAATACCTCTCCCACATGCTACGAAAACGAGGTTGACCTCCAATGTCCCAGAGCTATAAGGAGGTAGAAGCAAAAAGGATGAGAAAAGAGGAGGATATGAGGCCTTACAAATAGATTTACCCATAACTTGCATATGCCATACCCTCATACATATTCTATTTTCCTAAGTGTATTTATATGATACAATTCTCCCCACTTACTTCGTGGACCATGTTCATTTATAGCTAAGAAAAATAAAGCTGGAGGATTTCCAAGATAGTCCAGAAAATGGATTCCTCAGCTGCAATTCTACTTCCTACCTAGAAACATTCTCACATTCATAAAACATGCAAAACTCTTCATACTTCATATGTATTAAATACATATCCAAAAAGATTGAAATGATAGGAGACATGTGCACTAAATTCATATTTTTTTCTCATTGTAATACCAACTATTAATATGTTGCTGACACTCCTTTTCAAAATTCCCACTAAAGTTCTTTCTCACTGAAGTCCCCCTTTTTCCTAAAAAGCTGTATAATAAATCATCTACATAATCTACAGAAAAAATGTCTTAATAAACAAATGTCAATCAATCTGCCCTTATTTTAGCTGAGTTAGCCTCCCTGAATTCTAGAGTTGGGAACCCATGCCTCAAAAACAGGGTACAGCAGTCTCTGAGAATAATATGGACCACAACTAATCTGTAACAAGTACTAAAACCATCGTGCTCTGAAAACCCACTTCCTCCAACTGAAAATAGCCCAACATTTTAGTAATGTTCCCTCCTGTCCTGCTTTAAGAAGTCACCCTGCCTTCATCTATAGAAAGGTTCCTGTTGCATAGTCCTCTAAAAAGTGCAGCTTAGTCTTTATAGCATACTTCCCAATCTCCTCCAAATCAATTTTCATCAACATCTATCAGAGCATCCAAAGGCAAGAGAGTCATCTTATTTCAGTATGATTTTACATGTGAAAGAAGCAGATCAATTTTAATTCCTGTTAATTCAATTTAATTTCTTAATCTGCCTGGGTGGCACAATCTAGAGCAGGGCTGTCAAACTCCCGGCCCATGGGCCAGTTGCATCACGCACTGGCCATGCCCACACTCAGTTTAAACTAAGGGGAAAACAGTCCTGAAATGTCACGTGACGACGCCATGACAATGTGAGTCTCACAGCCCTGATTTAGAGTATCCCAAACACTATGTCTGAAATTTAGTCAAGATGTGTTGTATCTTACCTTTATAGTTACATTTCCCTTGGTGATTTTTCTCATGTTGAAGCCCACTGTTGGGATCATATCTTCATTGAACTGTCCAGACTAAATTAAAAAAATAAATAAAAGATCAGTCATTTGTTAGAAATGTCTTCCTGTTTAGCTAGCCTTATTCTTATAATGGGAGAGATATAATAGAAATCAGAGGACTGAAGGGATAATTCCTAGATAGCATAAGAATGGCTGCTACTTTTTTTCAGATAGTCAAGCATATTGAATAACATATCAAACAATAATCCCATCCAGTAAATAAAGTAATTGGGAGGAGAAAGAGAAGAAGCAGTCTCAAAGACATGAAGTAAAAGCTACACCAACTATCTATATGGATAGACCATAGACAATTCTTAAATAGATCAAGTGAATCCCATTGGTACCCCAGGTGTTCATTATACTATCTAGTATGAAGCACTTGGTGTCCTCAATTAACAATGTCATGTTGTTGTTGCTATATAGTCTAGTTAACATACAACTATAATTAAAATTGCAACTAATACTCATATCCATAAGATGTATAGGAATGTAAACTTATCTTAGAATTTAGAATAGAATTTGTTGCAATCTGCTTATTATTTATCTGATTATTTATTATTATGATTTTATCTTCACAAAAGGGGGGAATTATTATTATATTATAAAAGTATAAAAATGAACAATGTCAGATGAAAGATAAAGGTTTTTCGCTTATTGTAACTTCAGTTGTCCTGGATTTGTCTTCCATATATCTTGTAACATTTGCCTCAGAATAATCTTAGAAATTAATTTTATCTATCCACTGCTCTTTTTTCAATAATTTACAAGTTAAAAATAACCAGCATTTAAACATTTATAATTTTAAATTTGGCAGAAGAGATTTAAGAATCTTGCAAGTATATTGAAGTGTCAGCAATGAATTTATCTAATTCTGATTTTTAAAATGGAGAGCTTTTAGCCTCTGGCTTTTAAAGATTTGGCACATCAGCAAATCTTCCATGAGTCTCAATCTCTGTATTTTCTCCCTCAGCTTTTCATTCTAAAAGGCATGTCCTGATCTTGCCAGAGAGATAATAATAGACTGCTCAAAAGCTACATGCTTCAATAGGCCAACCAGCTTACACTGCACTGGGATTTAATGCAACATGCTACTCTAGACCTTTTTATCCAACAATGGTAAGATTTTACTTAAGCAACAGACTCACATATCCTGGTTTTTCTGTCAATATTTTTTTTCTAAAACAGACCATTAATACTGAACATTAGAAAATTTTTATTATGATGATATTCCTAACAGAGGAGATAAGCAAGAGTTCAAAAGATATTTGAAAGACACTGTGAAAATTTAAGGCTATCTTTCCCAAAAACGGCCCCGTTTTTTGTCAAGAAAATTGCATGCATAGATTTATGGAGGCTTATAGAGTGCTCCTGGGGGCTGTGGGGACAAGATTGAGCAAACAACGGCCCAATTTTCGCTCCTCAGTCCCCAGGAGCTCTCTGAAAGCCTCCTACAAGCTATGCACGGCCATTTTGGTGAAGGGGGTGGGGCTTCAAGAGGCAAAAAATGCTGTATTTGATGTATAAGACGTACCCAGATTTTCAGCCTCTTTTTTGAGGGAAAAAGGTGTGTCTTATACTCCAAAAAATACGGTAGACACTATTCCTTTTGAGATCTTAAGTTCTTAGTGAGTATTGGGGGGGGGGGGGGGGGGGGGGGGGGCTGAGGGGAGATGTATGCAAACACACACACACACACACACACACACAC